ACTACCTGGTTGGGGTCCGCGAGACGAAAGTCATCAATGGTTAGAGACCTTGAACGACATGGCTCAAAATCGTTTGCAATGGCGCAGGTGCATCCATTCTTTGAGCTCTCTCAAATCCTAATCTTCTGGAATCGTCAGCAGATCTACCTTTGTCTTTCTAACCTTATCTCACTGAATTATATTTTTTGAATAATATCTTAAACCCTAGTCTTCTTTATTATAACATTAATACCTCTACCATCTTTATCACCATGGGATTTGATTTGACATTTGCGTCTCTGTGCTAATAATGTGGTATGGCAACATGAACTTATGTACATACGTACGAAGTTCTACGTTGCAACTGACTGACTGATCCATGACCTCCGTTCACGGCAGCAGAACGTAGGACCTTCAGTCTGGCACATCTAGACCACTGAGCCGTCACCCAACGGTGGTAATGTCTAACTTTGATCTGTCTAAAGTTATAGCTGAACCTTACTCATTGTCTTCCATATTTAATGCCTACACCTGATAAGGTTGAACTCCACTGGTCACTAACTTCTTGAAGAAATTCTGGGAGTTCTAGTGAGAAGCCGTGATCAGTAGGTTCGCTCTCCTTGTTCACTTCATTTCTCTTTACTTGTACACTTTTCGTTCTCATGTCTGACTGTTTGCATGAACAATTGCCTTGAAATAAACTCATCCAACTGAATCCTTATTTGACTTCTTATTACCTGCGTCACACAAACAGGATTTGCCTAAAAATATGATATACGATAACCAAAATGGGAGACTTATTTGATAGTACATTTAACACTGTTTGTCAAGATCATGGGCTACAAAAGTGATGAGCCTTGACATAGTAGAGTTCAGTGCAGTCACACAGTATACATCCTCGAATATTTGTCAACAGGGGGAATACACTGTCAATCTGTCTGTCTATCTCTCTCTCTGTATATATATATATATATATATATATATATATTGGGGCAGAGTTTTGGAGATTAGTGTTTTTACACATTTGAAATCATCAGTCAATCATTGTTAGACCAGCACCATTAGAAACCTGGAAGCATTGGACGGCCATTTTATCCTAGTATGGGACTGACTCATCAGTGGCAGTGCGCATCCATGCGCATCCTGCACTTCGCAGGACTCGAACCCGGGACTTTCGGTATTGTGCGCGAACACCTAACCATCGAACCACTTGGCCGGCTGGTATCCAACGGTGTTAATGTCTAACCCTGATTGATCTGAACATATATATATATATATATATATATATATATATATATATATGTCTACAGATGTTATCTTTTTGAGTTTTATCCTATCTTTCCTTTCCTCTTCTTGTTTTACAACAATACAGAAACTACACAATCATCTCAATTTGGCAAAGTCAATTTACTCAATCCAATGGATAATTGTAGTATTAATAGTAGTAATAGTGGTATTAATAATAATCATAATCATATTTCTAATGGTACAACATCACGTTCACGTATCCTCACCTCGAATAAATTAACTTCTGATCAAATTAGTTTACCACAAAATGATTTTCGTCATATTGGTCATGTTGGTTCAGATGGTCGAACATTTGGTGATTTAGGCATCGTCGGTAAAATGATCAATTCGAATGGTAAGAAAAAGAAAAAAGAAAAAAGAGTTGATTGATTGATTGAAAATTATTATTATGTAAAATCATGATGGCTTGTTTATCCGCCCTGTTTCTCATTGTTGGTGGAATGTGGTATTAAACTATGGGCATATAATTATTCAGCTGAGTGTAAACTTCTATGTTGTCATATTATCTAAAAAAGAGTATCATAGTGTTATACTTATCAATTGATATGCTTGATTGCTATTGCAAGTTCACCTTATGTCGGTAAACGATAGCGAAGATAAGATGATGCTGATCCAGTGATACGATAGGCTACTCTCTAATCCGAGCGTCCCAAACCCCCCCCCCCACTCTAGCGGTATCAAATAGTCTTGACTTTGGCGTAGAAAGTGTATTCTACAAGCACCCAGAAAATATGAGGTTTTATACTGAAGAAGAAGAAGAGGAGCATAAAACTTTACTGGCGATGCATATTTATACTGTTAGGTCGACCGTGAATACTAACTAACCAACCAATCGGAAAGAACATTTAAAAGTATGTGAACTTGAAAGTTTAGGACGACCTTAAATATTGACCAATAGGAGTTAACCAATAGAATTAGACTTACAAAATAATTTCTTCAAGATATTATTTGATGAATATCCTAACATATAGTCCGTGATAACTATCATATTTTTGTTTATTTAGCTACTAAATTGTGCTCAAGTTTAGGATAATTTTTATCATGGCATTGATTCAGAGATGTGGCTTTTACAATGTTGTAAATTTTTTTTCTTAACTATGATTGACTGCCAAGTGAAGACGGGTGACAATTAAGGTTGCTTACTCTTAACATTTCTCTTCTTCCCAGTGATCGATTGGATTATGAAGACGTCAACATCTAGGGGGGGAGTACGGGATGCAGTAGACAGTCTGGATGTAGCTGGACAATGTACACTTCACAGATAATCTAGCCATTTTATCCTACGCGCAACAACAAATGTAAGGGAAGACGATTAGTGTAGCAGTGTTTGAGCAATAGTATCCCAACTCACTCACAAATTCAATAATTTCTCTGACACATAAATATTCTGGGGCCACATTTGTATCAATGTCTATGTGTTTCAATAAGTAAACAAATAAGTAATATCGATCATATTCAGTAATTTTGTCGAAGTAATCCATATCTAGATAAAGTGTTATTTTATTGGCCTTTTTCTATTGTCAGTCAATTCGAAAGGTGTCTCTCGATTTAGAATACATATTTACTAAATTGAAGAAAACATGTGTCATTGTAACTACATCACTGCTCAACCCCAGACCGTAGCTATACTACCTTGATGTGGTGGTCGGACTTGGATATCGTGATGACCCAGCCGAGTTATATTGGGTGGAATATATGTTCCTGTAGGTTCTACCATGCCAGGTAGGTTGATTGGAGAACGATGAGACTAAAAGCAGCAACTCAAGGTCTGAGGGTAAAGTCGTATTGCTGACTCTAGCGAGGTGTGACAGTAGCAGTGAGGTGTTTCCCTCAGACAACCGGCATCTGAAGCGATGCTAGAAACGGTCAACCCTGCAAATGTTACACCTAACCTTACCTCATAGATTCCCGTCTCGGGTGGTAAGGCCGTTTAAAAGACGCAGATAACACGTTTAAAACTTCCCATAAAAAGGCCGTGTGTGACCGGCCTGAAGCAGTTGTCCATTTGACTCTGCGGTCATGCTCTCTCTCTCTCTCTCAAGACCAACGCTAATCCAATTTCTTCTGCTGATTCTTCAGAAGAACGTCCACAATGTGAGCAGCCGGCAAGTAGCATTCGCCCTCATACCCACAATAGTATTATACGAGACTAGATCGGTCACTGAAACTACTCAACATCTATAAGTAAGAGATGGGTTACTCACCATTGATATCTCATAGGCTCATTGATCAAATCTATTTTTCATTAAAACTAAAGCCCTCAAGAGATTTTCTTATTATTCATTCTATTCAATTTTTTTTATTCTCCTCTGTACAACAGATAATCTCTCTGATTCACAATCATTACATAATTTCAATGGAATTGAAGGAGAAAACCACAAATACAATAATAAATCGAATACTTTACAAATTGTAAGTTCTTATTACCTTTTTGTTTTATTGATCGGTTCAATGTATTTTTATTGAGTTGAACTTTACAGGATTAAATGCTTTAATTCCAATTGAAATTCTCTGTAAGGATGGCAAATCAATAGATGAAGTAGTGAAACTTCATCAGTTGAGGTGGTTGGGACATGTGTTACGTATGCCTAACCACCGACTGCCGCGACAAGCTATGTTTTGCAGTGTAGGAGTAGGTTGGTAGAAAGCTAGGGACGGTCAAACCAAAACATGTCAGAAATCCATGAAGTCACTGACAATCGTTTACAATGGCGCAGGTGCATCCACTCCTTGTGTTCTCTCGAACCCTAACCTTCTGAATTCCTCATAATCTCTACCTTTCTCGTTCTAAATTTATCTTACTGAATTATACTTTTCGAATCATATCTTCGCTCTCTAATCTTCTCCATTGCTGCTAATAATTCTACTATTGCTATCACTGTTGGATTTGAACTGACAGTTGCGCCTCTGTGCTTATGTGGTATGGTGACCTGAAGTGATGTACTTACGTACGAAGTTCTGTGTTGCATCTGTCTGTCTGTCTGAAACTTTCTGTCAATATGGCTTCATAAATATATATATATATATATATATATATATATATATATATATATATATGGAGGGTATCGAAGTCAGGAAATTCAGATGTTGTGAAGAATACAACCTGTTGAATAGTTTATATTGGCGTAGGCGAGATATTCGTCTACTAACCAAAGGATGGGTATACTACACAGCAGTTCCATTTGTCCTAATTTATGGGTATGAAACATGACCAGTAAGAGTAGAGGATGTTCGTAGGTTTCTAGTATTCGATCTGAGGTGTCTTCAAAGGATTGGTCGTGTATCCTGGAACATCCGGGTTAACAATGCTGTTGTTAGAAAACGGGTACTAGGTAAGGATGGCAGATCAATAGATGAAGTGGTGAAACTTCATGAGTTTGAGGTTGTTGGGACATGTGCTGCGATTGCACAACCACCGACTGCCTCGACGAGCTATGTTTTGTGGTGTAGGAGTAGGTTGGAAGAAATCTAGGGGCGACTAGACCAAACCATGGTACAAATCCATTAAGCCACTGACAAGTGGACGTACTTACTTACATACACCTGTTGACCCCAATGGAACATAGGCCGACACCAGCATTATCCAACCTACTCTGTCCCGGGCTTCCCTTTCTAGTTCATTCTTCTCATGTCTGTCTCTATTTCTCGGCGTAATATGTTCTTTGGTCTTCCTCTTTTCCTTTGTCCTTGAGAATTCCAAATGAGAGCTTGTCTTGTGACGCAGTTAGGTGCTTTTCGTAGTGTGTGTCCTATCCACTTCCACCGCTTCTTCCTGATTTTCTCCTCCACTAGAATCTGATTTGTTCTCTCACACAGTAGGTTGTTGCTGATGGTGTCTGATCAACGGATCCGAAGTATTTTGCGTTGAGAACTGTTACTAAGTACTTTTATTTTCTGGGTGATGACTTTTGTAGTTCTCTAAGTTTCCATCCCTTACAGTAAAGAACTGTCATGACATCGTGTATCCTGAGACAACCGAATAAGCAATTCGGTCGTTAGGGAACGATTACTAGGTAGGGATGGCAAATCAATAGATGAAGTATTGAAACTTCATCAGTTGAGGTGGTTGGGACATGTGTTACGGATGTCCAACCACCGACTGCCTCGACGAGCTTTGTTTTGTGGTGTAGGAGTAGGTTGGTAGAAAGCTAGGGCTGGCCAAAACAAAACATGGTACAAATCCATGAATTCACTGATAAGTGTACAGAGTCATGTTGGTAGATGTAGGTTACCTGGTTGGGGTCTGCAAGACTTTGAATGTGTCATGACGTAAAGTCGTTTGCAATAGGGTGCCGGTGCATCCATTCTTTGTCTTCTCTCATGAGCTCAGGACATTTTTTCCTCTCTTCATCTGTCTGCACTAATGTGATATGCCAACTTGTACGTTTTAGCTAGACTAACTGACTGACTAATCTACGTATGCATCTTTCCTAATACGCATAGATTTTTCTATTTCTAATCATCATTACTGTTATGCTCGTCTCTGGGTGTGCTTAAACTATATTACGAGTTCATCTTAGTCGAATAACGAGAACAAACAATGAATCAGCGTCCATATAGGCTACTGTGATCCCTTGACCAAATTAAATCAGTAAGAAGCGTTGATATAGTGAAGAAATTGTATTCTACAAACACCCAGCCAGCAGCACACAATGAATCTAAGCACTTAAATTGCGTTTATTTATACTCTTGGGACAGTCACAAAAATAGCACACTGAAATGACACAGTAACCAATCACAGCCAAGGATTTTCCTGGTGGGAAATGTAATCTCAAGGTCAAATAGTCGGTGCATGAAATAAAACCAAAATAAAGATATTTAACAAGCGTATTCTGGAGATCTAACATCCCCAACAATTACTTTGACCGCACCGCTCATATACTACACGTTTCATGGTCACACAACGTTATTATTATTATTATTATTATTATTATTATTATTATTATTATTCTGACCTTTATTGTGTGAATGACCTATTCAATGTACAAGTATTGATATTGTTTGTAACAGATGCAATATATATTTCACACTGGCGCATATATAACAGGTGTGTAATTCACTTAAAATGTGTATGCTTTCATGATGAATTTAGGAACAGTTGTTGAGCCTCAATGACGTAATTTTATTGAGAACAATTCTGCTGGTTTAGTTTATTATTATCGTTATTATTATTATTATTATTATTATTATTATTATTATCAATGAATCAATGAAATTAACATGTCAGCTGTATTGGCTCGTTTGAACTGCAATTGGTCAGTCTCATTTGGCATATGTAGATAGTGATTAACAGTGGGCTAGCACAGAATGCGACACCATCAGCAACAACGAACTGTGGGAGAGAAATAAACCAGATTCCAGTGGAGGAGGAAATCAGGAAGAAGCGGTGGAAGTGGATAGGACACACACTACGAAAAGCATCTAACTGCGTCACGAGTCAAGCCCTCACATGGAACCCTCAAGGCAAAAGGAAAAGAGGAAGGCCAAGGAACACATTACGCCGTGAAATAGAGAAAGATATGAGAGGAATGAACAAACATTGGACAGAAGTGGAAAGGGAATCCCAGGACAGAGTTGGTTGGAGAATACTGGTCGGTGGCCTATGCTCGATTGGGGGTAACAGGCGTAATTAAGTAAGTAAGCACAGAATGCACATCAGTCAGTCAGTCAGCTAGCTACAACGTAGAACTTCACACGTACGTGCGTACATCAGTGTTCAAGTTGTCCATACCACATTAACACACAGAGATGCAATTGTATGGGTTATAGTAGAGGAGTATTTGAAAAGATAAAGGGTTCAAAGATATAAACTAGTGAAATAAACTTTAAAAAACTGGAAATTAACGGTGATATGAGGAATTCAGAAGATTCACATTTGAAAGAACACAAAGAGAATGGATACACCGGTGCCATTGCAAATGATTCACATATGCTAAAAAGTGACTGATCCATTACAGACCTAAACATCAATGAAAACAGTTCAAATTACCAAATATGCACGAGTTATTTTCTATGCTATCGCACAAGCTTGAGTGGCTATCTGTGAATTCATTAATACGATGCTATTTGATTTTGAAATCATGAATTGAGCAATGCTAGAGCATTATTTGAATCCTGAAAGCACTGAAAGACGGCTTTTTCTTGCTGGTATGGGACTATTCATCATCAGTGCGCATCCACGATTTATGAAACTCGCAGGATTCGATCCTAATTGCGAACGCCTAACCTGTGGACTACTGTTGAGTTGACATCCAACTGTGTTAATACATAACACTGGTCAGTCTAAGGATTTTGCACAGCCTCACTCACATTATCTTCCAAAGTTACTGCCCCAACACACACAGTCTTCTGAATATCACTGTTAGCCAGCCACTCACTATCTCCTACTATCTCTGCTTATAATGCATATCTTTTGTCATTGTTTACTTAATTCGAATAAGTGTCAATGAATTATTTGTCCGCAAATCATTTTTAAGAAAAAAAGATTTTACAGCGATTAGCTAATCTGTCTGTAATAAGACGCACACATAGACACACGCACGCACATAGATTTTATCAAGACTTTCAGTTTGTCTATTCACTGTAATTGTACTTGTAATCATTCATTCTTTGAATAGGTCTCTAGCATACATACAACTAAGTTGGATAATGTATAACAAGAAATAGGTTTTGTCTAATCATTTGTTAAAAAAATTTCACAATCGAAATATGATATTCAAGTCACAAAAAATCTATCGATTCATCAACTTATTTTGAAATCATGAATTGATCAATCTTAAACCACCATTAGAAATATGGAAGCACTAAAAGACGGGCGTTTTACCCTAGTGTGAAACTACTCATCAGCAGTGCACATCCACGACCCCGGCTCGTGGGAATCGAACCCAGGAGCTTCAGTCTCACACACGCAAATGCTTAACTGCTAGACAATTGATGAGCCGGCCCTCATCCGATAGTGTTAATGTCTAACTTTGATCAATCTAAGGTTCTGTGCAAGCTCACTCATTGTCTTCTGTAGGTGAGTGCCTACTACACTTAACAAGGTTAAACTCCATTGAATACACACACTACTGAAGAGTCTCATACTAGGATGAAACAGTTGTCTTCCAGTGCTTACAGGTTTCTAATAGTGTGTTCTAACAATGATTGATATGTATGGTGCATGAATATTTCGGTATCCCTTTGTACCAATGTTTATATGTTCTCAAATGAATGAACAAATGGCGAGATTACAATGTATGAACGGGCCAATCAGATTCAAGATGAAGAGTCTTGAATTCGGGCGCCAGATTCATTTATGCATATAGCTAAACAACTGATGTCAGTTCATGATGAACAACAGCTTAATTCTTAACAGGCGACAAATGATCAGAAAACTTGTGAAGTTCTTATTACTTACTTACTTACTTACGCCTGTTACCCCCAATCGAGCATAGGCCGCCCACCAGTTTTCTCCAACCAACTCTGTCCTGGGCTTCCCTCTCCAGTTCCACCCAATGTTTGTTCATTCCTTTCATATCTTTCTCTATTTCACGGCGTAATGTATTCTTTGGCCTTCCTCTTTTCCTTTTGCCTTGAGGGTTCCATGTGAGGGCTTTTCTTGTGATGCAGTTAGGTGCTTTCCGCAATGTGTGTCCTATCCACTTCCACCGCTTCTTCCTGATTTCCTCCTCCACTGGAATCTGGTTTATTTCTCTCCCACAGTTCGTTGTTGCTGATAGTGTCTGGCCAACGAATCCGAAGTATTTTGCGTAGACAACTGTTAATGAATACTTGTATCTTCTGGATGATGCCTTTCGTAGTTCTCCAAGTTTCCGCTCCATACAGTAGAACTGTCTTGACATTTGTATTGAATATCCTGATTTTGGTGTTGATTGATATTTGTTTGGAGTTCCAGATATTTTTCAACTGTAGAAATGCAGCCCTTGCTTTGCCAATCCGCGCCCTCACATCTGCATCGGATCCACCTTGATTGTCGATGATGCTGCCAAGATATGTTTTGAAGGATGCTTTAATGATCCTGGGTCCATGAGATTCCCATCCTATCAGTGCCTTTTGTGCATGTTTGGACAGCATCAGTGCAACTCCTTGTGTATGTGAAGCGTTTTCCTCTTCATGACCAGAGTATAACATCAGTTCCCCTGAAGCAAGTCTCACTTGTCCTACCTGTGTCCAATGTGTTTCACTGATTCCAAGCACCTCGAGGTTGTATCTTTTCATTTCTGCCGCAACTTGAAATGGTCTTCCAGTCTCCCACAATGTACGAACGTTCCATGTACCTAAAAAATGGTTGCTCTGGTTGTCAGAAGAGGCATCGGCCCCGTGACTTCCGAGGGAACTCGGCTTTCATCACGCGACGTCATAATTCTTCTTTTAACTCCCAGGGCAGAGTTAAAATGGTTTGATTTATTTTTTCTGGTTAGCGTTTTTTTGGCAAGTGAGATTTCAACGGAATGGTGTCGCCAACCCCATGTCCAACCCTCCTCCTTTACCCGGGCTTGGGACCGTCAGTAGCCCCGATGGTTCTACTGGCGGAGTTGAAGTTCTTATTACCAGTCAGAAATAATAAGGTCATCTAAACTAACTAACATGATAATTATGGTCTATAGAGTAGTGACAAATGAAAACTTTCTAGTGAAATCATCATCTAATTACGAGAAGATAACAATATCAATGAAGAAGTACATTTGTTTTTATTGCCTACAAAGATATATATTGTTTGTACTATTATAATATTCTAGCTTTTGAACAGATATCAATTAAGATTGATCTTTTTCGAGTCCATTGTACACACATGCACACACACACACAGAGATTGATTTTGTCAATTAGTCGTTCATCACCTTGACTGCTTTTATTTGGACCGGTGTGTGTGTGTGTGTGTGAGTGTATGTATGTATCTCTTACTCTGTTCATCGCATATATTTATGTTATTCTTATATGGTTATGATTAGTTAATCACACCTTATATGATGTGATGTAATGGCGTTGGTACACTCACCTTCTTCTCTTCACTTCTCTACTTTTCATCTTAATGTTTGTCGTCTGCATAATCGATTACATGACAATAGTGTTCCTCAGTTGGTCTTTTATTATCACGATCTGTGAAAAAAGAACGAACCTAGATGTATAATATGCTGCATTGAGTGAAGAAAGATCCATTTTCAATGGTAAAATTCAATTCTCTTGTCTAAAATAGAGTGCACACCGTAGCTGCTACCTTGACGTGGTAGTCGCGCTTGCCTACTCGTGATGATCTTAGCCGAGCTATATTGGCTGGAATATATATTCTCTTAGATCCTCTCATGCTAGACAGGTCGATTCGAGAACGGTGAGACTAAAAGCAGCAACTTAGGGTTTGAGAATGAAGTTTTACTGCTGACCGTAAAGAGGTGTGACAGCAGCAGTAAGGTGTTTCCCTCGGACAACCGGCATCTGAAGCGATGCTGCCTTCTCAGTAAGGAAGGGAAGCGGTTAGAGTAGGTCAGTCCTGCAGATTTCACTCTTCACCTTATCCTATGGATTTCCGTCTCCGGCGGAAAGACCATTTGAAGAGCGGAGATAACACTTCAAAAACTTCCCATAAAAAGGACATGAGTCACCGGCCTGAAGCAGTTGTCCATTAGGCTATGCGATCACGCTCCCAGGTCTCTAAGACCACCAACGCTAATTCAATTTTCTCTTCAGGTTGCATTCCATATTGTAAGGAGCTGAGAAATGACATCCACCCTCATATCCGTGACAGCACACTAGATCAATATGGTCACAATCAGATCTTTCCTACAACTCCTAATAATTCTTTTACCTCCTTGACCAACCCTTCTTTCATTCCCTTTCGTGACCTCACGCCGCTCAGGATGCAATCAATACATCAAGTACATGGAACATTATTCCTTATCTCTTGAAATCCCGTTCTAAACTACACGTGTGTTGGAGTTACAGACTGGCTGATTGATCGATATTTATTGCAGTATCGTGTTGTCACTCTATTTTCTATCCTTACTCTTCTTTCTCTTGTAGAATCCTTCAAATATTAAAATGTATCAAGAAAAAACACGTACAACAACAACAACAACAACAACCAAAAAACCCGTGGTTGATTCATTCATCAGTCGGAAATTTACCTCTTCAAATAAAAATGATCAAATATCCAATAAATCTTTAACTACTAATAATAATCACAAACAATCTATTACTGTCAACATCAATAATAATGATACAGATGTCGATACAGATACTGATTTATTATTTGATGATTTGAAATTTAATGTATTGTCTGAATCAAATGTAAGTTGTTGGTTTTATTATTTTTCTTCTTTTCACTTTGTATTGCATTCATGAACAATTATAGTACTGACTCGAACACCACTGGTCAGGTGAGAGCATATGGCGAACTGTCATCTGAATTCTCTGCATCAAGTGGTATCTGTCAGGGCTGTCCACTCTCTCCATTCTTGTTTAACTTTATCGTAGACATCCTCTTAGAGTTAACATTAAAGCTCGTCAGATTTTTCAGGAGTTGACCTTCTACCAGGAAAGTCGCTTACTGATCTAGAATATGCCGATGACATAGTTCTATTCGGTGAAGACGCTGACAAAATGCAGAATCTTCGGACTATCATAAGCAACAATGCGAGCATGTTCGGGATGTGGTTCTCACCCTCGAAATGCAAAATGTTGCTTCAAGACTGGGTTGCATTGGCACTTGAACTAGTGATAGGGAGTGAAGTAGTCGAGCGTGTTGATCACTTCACTTATCTTGGGAGTCGCATCAGTGCCGATGGGCTGGTGACTGACGAAATCTCAACTCGGATACAGAAGGCTCGATTGGTTTTTACCAACCTGCGTCACTTATGGCGTAGGCGAGATATCCGTTTGCTGACTAAAGGACGAGTGTACTGTGCAGTAGTTCACTCCTTCCCACTTTATGGCTGTGAAACATGGGTAGTCAGAGTAGAAAATATTCGTCGGTTATTGGTTTTCGATCATAGGTGTCTTCGAAGCATTGCTGGTGTACTGAGTCATCAATGCTGTTGTTAGCAAACAGGCCCCAGGTGGTTCGGCATACGCAACACATGTCCCAACCACCTCAACTGATGAAGTTTCACCACTTCATCGATTGATCTGCCATCCTTACCTAGTACTCGTTTCCTAACGACAGCATTGCTCGTATACCGTGGGACCAACCAGCATTCTCCAATCTACTCTATCTGCTTCCGATTCTCGGCGCAGTTTGTTCTTAGGTCTTCTTCTCTTGACTTTGAAGATTCCAAGTTAGGAAATCTTATGTGACGCAGTCGAATTACTATTATTCATAATAGCATTCACATCACTGTCAGTTTTATCAATCAATCAATGTCTTTATTTGTATCCGAATCACATCGAACTGGATACTGCAAGTCTATAAAAGTGGAATCTCTTAATCAAAGAAACTGAACCCTAGAGAAGTTAGACAAATGAAAAAATTAGTATATTTTTTTATCTCACAGTATATAACATTTAGTTCAGTTAACAACAACATTGTAAAAGTTGATCAATGAGATTTCAGTCAATATATGTATATTTTTTTTTCGGCATTGATCAGTATTCAATATTCAAGTGGAATTTCGTTTTTAAAATTACATGAACACAAATTATTACAATCAATACACGACAGACACAAAGTTTCCAATTGCGCTTATCATTTCCAAGTGTATTTATTTTGTCGTGTCGTTAGTCCTGTCTGTATGCGAGAAACAGACTAGACATTTTCAATAGGACACGCACATACTAAAAGTTGTAAAATATTCTTTTTATTTGTCTTTTGACTGTATTCAATTAGTTGTAGTAGTTAGTCGTCAACTGTGTAGTTTTTTTTTTCAATCTCTCTCTCTCTCTCCATCTCCATCTACACATTGTAAGTACTTGATCTGTCTATCTGTTGTGTGTGCGCGTGTGTATGTGTGTATGGTTGAATGGGGAGGGTATGTGTGTGTGCGTAGTTGTTTGAATGTGTTATTTTTTTTGTTAGCAGCTGAGAAGGGAGGGGGACGATGGTTCTTTTTTTCTTTCTTTCTCTCTCTCGCTCTCTCCCTCCCCTTGTCTGATTACATAATGGATAATTTTTACGTTGAATGAACGAATGAATACATGAATATTTTGGGGCAGAGTTTTGGAGGTTTGTGTTTTTTTACACATTTGAAATCATCAATCAATCAACCATTGTTAGACCACCATTAGAAGAAACCTGGAAGCACTGAAGGACGGCCGTTGCGTCCTGGTATGGTCTGATGGTTAGGCGTTCGCGCATAAGACCGAAGGTCCCCGGGTTCGAATCCTGTGAGGAGCAGGAGTCGTGGATGCGCACTGCTACTGATGAGTCCCATACCAGGACGAAACGGCCATCTTTCAGTTCTTTCAGGTTTCTTCTAGTGGTGGTCTGACAATGGTTGATTGATGATTTCGCATGCATGTATGTTATACATCATGTATACAGTAAGTCAGTCAATCAGTCAGTCAGTTGGTACGTTTAGCATTTTAGTACAAACGTACATCAGTTGAAGCTGCCATGGTAGTGTAGGTAGCAGCAGTATTAGCAGTAATGTGATAAGGAATCCAGAAGATTAGAATATGGGAGAGCACCAAGAGGATAGATGCATTTGCTCACACATTGAGATTGATTTTGAGCCATCTTATTCAAAGTTCCCTCATCGCCGGTAGTGGTGACGTTTGTCTCACCGACTGCAACCAGGTAGTCTACACCTACTAACATGATTCAGTCCACTTGTAAGTGACTGCTTGGATTTGTGCCATGTTTATGTTTGGCCGCCCCTAGCTTTCTTCCAGTCTACCCCTATACCACAATACATCGTTCATCGAGGTAGCCGATGGTTAGACATACTTAACACATATCCTAACCACCTGAACTGAAGACTCACTACTTCGTCAGTTAATTTGCCACCCTTTACTTAGTACAGTTTTACTAACACTAACGCCAAGATATATGAGCGATGCTTCTGTGATCGAAAACCAGTAGCCTATAAGTATTTGTTACTCTTGATGGCCATTTTTCATAAACAGAGTAGAACAGAGCAAACTGCTACTCAGTAGCAACTGGGTATTTCACCTACGCCATAAGCGAAGCAAAAGCCAATAGAGGCT